TTTATTTTCCCTTTGAAGGCTTAGGAGTATAGACCTCCTCTTGATGTGTCTGCATAATGCCCATTAGCATTAACTGGTGTTGCAAGTACATCCCTGGGAGAATAGACCCCTTTGTGTGTTAGAAACTCAGAAACAGCATGGCTCCATCATCCAATCAATCAAGTTACCACAACACTTCTTTTCATCCTTCGCTTAAGACACACCTAATGGCTTTAATTGTTTCAGGGCAATTGGCCAGAAACTGATGTCTTGTGTATGTGTGTGTCTGCCTCTTATAGCAATCCCAGCTGTATACAGTGGTGTATGTTAAGTTTGTGTTAATGTAAAATTTTGCAGACCTTTCAAGCTTAGGGAAAAGCCACCTGAAAATTTCCAGCTAATTCGTGCCTGTTTAATAAAACTGCCTCTCTTATAATTAGTTTTTAATACGAAGTTTTAAAAACCGGAACTCTTCCGATTATTGAACTGCTCTGAAAATCAAACAATTTGCATGAGAGCTCACTCTTTCCTGTTCAATAGCCAGATAGATGACCCCCATCCTTGCATCTTTACGTCATATGATGAACCTTGCTTGGACTTCTGAGAGTCTCTAGAGATTGCTAAAGTAAAACCTCAGGTGGGAAAATCTCTTGTGACTTAGTAGTGGGTTTAGCAAACTTGTTTTGGCCTAAGGGCAGACAGTGCGTTTCAAAATCCCCCCTCCCCTCCTCTTCCAGGCCTTTGCAAAATGTCCCTTGTAACCTTATGGGTTTCCTGGATTTCTTCGAGATGATTTATGTACTCTAGATCCATTTCCGCATCTACACTCAGCTTTTCCGTTACTGAAGGTGTCATAATTAGAGATGCTCTTCCCTGGTTTTTTCTTTTTCTTTCTTTTTTTTTTTTTTGCTTGTAGTAAAAGCTGGTTTTTGCATCGGCTGTCTTACACTGCTAGTCAAAACTGGCTATCGTTGCTAGCTCTCTCAGGTTATACATGTTATCCCTTGCGAAAGTAGGTGGTGCGGAGAAGGTCATAGGATAAGTGTTGCTAAGCAGCTAAACAGAAGGATGCTAAAATTAACCCAAGTGCATCTATCAGGGATTCATCCTCTTTCTCCTTTCCTTTTGTAAATAAAATAAAACCACTTTTTTCCTCTTAAATTACCATGTTGGGTATCTCGAACTTAAAATCAGACTAAACTTTTGTGCTCAATGTCAGAAATATTTTCATATCACATTCTTAATATGTAAACTCCTGTATCTTACGTATTTGTAGAATTATGACCTGCGTTCCCTTAATGGATGCTTTCATAGAGTTGAGAAGTTAACAGCACATGACATCATGAGCTTAATAATCATTACTCAGAAGCAAGTCATGTTGAATTTGCTCCCTGCTAAGTGTGGCTGGTTTAGTAGGATAGAAGTCTTGGTTACAGGTAACTTTCAAAATGTGATGTGCTTCCATATAAGTCTATTTTTTTTAGGGTTGATGGTGGCAATTTATCAGGAAATGTCCTGAGAACATACTTGCTTCCAACTTGGTGTTTATAGAAACTTCTGCAGCAGAAATTCCTTTTTCTCGTACCTCCTGCCCCCCACCCCCCAGTACTGGCTGATGTAGTGAGTTGAAACACAGGTGGAATGCAATGTTTCTGCCTCAAACATCAGATAGATTTGTGTAGGAAACAAAGAAGTCTATTACAGCACAGCTGGAGCCACGGTGTGTAACTTGTATGCTGTTCTCAAAGCTTGTGTGCTTGTGTCAATTCATTTTATGTTGGGGAAAGCTATGTGACATGCTATCAGATGAATAATGTTGGTTTTTTTTTTTTTTTTAATAATTCCATCACTTTTTAACTTTCTGGATACTGGTTCACATATTTTTTCCACACAAAACACTTAGCTTAACTTTTTATTCTCTCTTCCCCCATTACAGATATAAAGTGCATTTCTGAAGAGCGACCTGAAGCTTAGAAAGGGGTAGGAATTAATTTACATTTTCCTTCTCTTTTCTCCCCCACCCCTCTCCCTTTTAAAATACCTTTGCCCTCAAACTTGCAAAGAAGCGTCTTTGGATAGCAGATAAGTGGTGACAATGGCCCCTATCTTATTAATTGATAGGGAAAACCCTGTTAAGGCTAGGAATTCTGAATTTGTAAAGTGGCTCAGAAATCGTGGCCTGCCCTGGAGTCTCCAGCAGTTGTGATAAGAAGTAGGTTTATCATCCCATTTTCTGTGGGCCTTTTGTATGCAGCAAAGTCTTGTCAGAAGCCTGTGGTTGCTAGTCCTCACGGTTGTGGCAGGAACAATGAAAACTAAATTTGAAACAAATAGTGCGGACGGAAACATGTCAGGGCAGAAATATACACTGCTTTTCAAGAATCAATTCTTAGCAAATAAGAAAGTTGTACAGTGTGTGTGACTCACTAATCTGATGCCTGTTGGGTTCATGGAAATATAATGTGAAGATAAGTATATAAACTAGGTGGTGTTCTATGGCTTATGAGTGTTTCTCACATATCTCTTTCAAGCAAATTTGCCACCCTGACACCTGTACTGTTTATGGATGCTCTTGTCCACAAAGATACCTATTCTTTAAATGAAATTGTTCACTTATGAAATATGACTTGGCTCGAATAGGAGAAAAATGTGTTTTCTGCTTGTATTCATTGCATTTTTATTTTATTATTAAATTTGTATACCACCCTTCATCTGAGGATCACTGGGTGGGTTACGATATAAAAACAGAAAAATATATAGCATGGTAACAAACAAAAACAATACCTCCCAATTTAAAAGGCCAAAGATTGTTTAATAAGCCAGAAAAGAGGAATGTTTTTGCCTGGCGCCTAAATACATGTAACAAAGGTGTCAGAGGAGCCTTGCTGGGAATAGCATTCCACATGCGGGGAGCCACTGCAGAAAAGGCCTGTTCTCATGTTGCCACCCTCTGGACCTCTTTTGAAGGATTATTAGTATCCTGCCCTATTTGCCTCACAGCAGCCAAGGGAGGTAAATTTGGCTGCAAGATGGATAGTGGTGGGTCATCCAAAGTCAACTAGCGCTATAGCTGAGCAAGTATTTCAGTGTGGATTTTCCACAACCAAATTCCAAATTGTTACTGCTCGCAAACTAGGATTGGTGTTTTTTTTTTTTTTTGTAGGATTCTTGCACGATCACATTCTGCCTGGTTGAAGCATTGCACTTGTTATGGGGAGCTATGTTGTGTAAATTTGCTACCTTGGGTGGTCCTGGCATCTTCTCTATGCAGGTTTAGGGAGGTTATGTGTCTTCTCTCGCACCTCTTTCCAGGCTGCGTTGAGTGTATGTGTGTGGGGTTGAGGGAGAAGATGGTTGTTTTTAGGACACAAAGGAACTGGGGGAATTTGAGGAGATTAGCCTCATGTGTTTCATTTTGCAACAGGTGCTAAATCTGTGCATTTCTGTGCAAAAGGTGCTAAATCCAGTTGTTGGAAATGAGCAACGGAATGAAACGATACTGTTCTGGGTAGCAGTCGTATGAAACAAAGGATTCCCATTTCTATGTTACGGAACATTATCGCCCTGAAATATAGGCTGTTGAAAACAAGGGAGTACTTAACCTAGCCATAGATTTAGTGGAGAAATTGAGCGGTTGTACCTTTTCTAATACAAAAACAGTTTTGAAACATTCCCACCTTGCAGTCCAGTTCTGCTCCTTGTTGGCATTAAATAGGGCAATGGTTTTGCAGGTAGGACATACATTATTTAAGGCAGCAACAGGTGTTGGCAGAAGAAATAGCCAAACTGAAGCATCCTTGCTTCTTTCTTGGAGTGAATCTTAAGGAAAACATGGATGTGATGTTCTCTCTTAAGTGCTTACTTCTAGGCCCAATTAAAAGCTGTACCCCGTGGCAGTTGCTTTTCTGTGAAATGCAAAAGAAACGTGACTTTTTGGTGTGCTGTTTTAAAATTGCTTTTGGCTTCCTCAGTGGGATATATGGCCGAACAGCAGCTCACCTGTGAAGGGCAGGGGCCTTTTAACCAAACCTTGCAGATCTGGAATGAATATTGAGTTGCTCCCCATCGGTTCAGCAGAACAGCCTGTAGATTTCGTTGCCTGCAGCAGGATGCAAGCCATTCTAGTGCATCTTGTTCTCTGTGCTACCTCTCCAGTTTTTCATGCTAGCCAGCCTTGCAGTCAATAAAGGTAGCTCTCCCTGAATAGGTGCTGTAGACAAAAGAAGTAGGTGATGGGTGGGGACTGTTTATTCAATGTGATTCAGGTAAGTAATGCTAAGAGAATTCGAAGGCCTCTGAGACAGGGCAGCTAAATAGTTTTAAGGAGGATTCACCTGCAGATTTTCAAGGGGTCTTTACCAACAAGGCGGAGGGAAGCAATTGAAACCCCTATCCAGTCATTGTTATGTTTAAAGGGGATTATCAATTGCTTTGAAGATCTTGACTTTTTTTATAGTTGTTGTTGTTCTCCTTTGCTTTAGATCAGTGGGTCTGCATTGTATCCTTTTCTCCTTTTCTTAGTGCAAATTCTCTAGCGCCTTCCTTCAGAAGAAAAAGCCCCTTAGGGTAGCACCTTTAAAGACTGGCAGATGTATTGCCTAACTTACCTGCAGGAGAGATCCTCCGTTGAGTTCCGAAAGCTCACGTTCTGATTTGTTGGTGTGTGTTTTTCAGTCTTTAAGATGACACAGGACTCTTGGGGAAACAGATTAAAAAGAAATGTGTCCCTTTCTGGAATTAGAAGCACTACAAGGTCTTGTGTGGTTTCCAAAGGGAGATTTGAGTTTTCTCTCTGAAATTCCATTTTGCATCAAGCATAGCTCTTGCAAGTGCTCAGGGGGTTGGCTTTCAGTTTGGCAGATCTCTGGAGTGAATGTTTTTCAGTGTGAGTGAACATCTATACAAATTACTTGGGAATTTCTTTACTACTTCGGTAAATACAAAGCAAAAAAAAAAAAAGTGGTTCTCAGGGTCACTGGCCACACAGTCTTCCCCATCATTTGCTACCTGGTCCAGTTAACTGGTGATGTCAGGATTTGAACCTGAAACCTTCCTCATGTTAAGCAAATACTCTGCCACTGAGCTACGGACCCATGATTTGGCAGTCAGGAGCATCTTCTGGGTTTGCATGCCCCTCTTTGCTCTCTTTAAACCCCCCACCCCAGCATACACCTTTTTAATTTGGGGTTCTGGCTTGTGCTCATGACATGCTAACGATAGCTATCTTGCACTGAAAGGGAGAAGAGGCAGTGCCTGAGCCAGTGGGGAGGAGAGGTATGCAAAGACATGGGTTGCTCCCAAGTTGCCAAACCATGGCATTGGCAGCGCTGGCTAGTGGGTGGTCCTTAGCAAAAAAAGATAGGGTTTTGTTTTTGTCCTTTTTATTTTATTTTAAGTGGAATCTTTGCTTCCTGGGAATTAATGGGCAAGCCCGTTAATTTATTAGAGTTATAATTGCTGCTCAGTTAAGGATTGTTTATCATTTCCTGATGTTGGGCTTCCATTTAAAGTATGTGATTAAAGGGGTGTGGAGAATTCTGCACAGACACCTTTCCTACATGCAGCCGGTCGTCATCAACAAACTCTGTATACAGTTTGGATTTTCCATGCAATTTGGATTTTGGGGGGGCACCTCTCGCCCTTTTAAGCAATGCTTCGTAGAAACAGCAGTTGAAGCATCCTAAAGTTCTGCAGCTGGTTGCTAGGGAATGTGCCACGCCCTCCCTGTCCCCTCTGAGTCCAGATTTTATGCATGGTCCAGTTTGCACATGTCTGGCTCAGACCAGAATGTCGACTCACTTTTCCTTGGTAGTTGCACAGGCGGCTGGCTTGGATTGCTCAGAGAAAATTAGCGGGGTAACCTCATATTGCTGAAGTTCGTCACTCTGAGGCACATGCCTCTGGAATCTTAAGGACTCTGCAGGCTTCTGTGGCCTTGCTTTTTTTTAAAAAAATGTGTAGCTCTGCTCTTGGGACTCACAAAAAAACTAGCTCTTTTTGACAGGAGTGCTCTTCTTAACCTGGTAGTTTCGAAAGGCTTGGTTTTTAAAGCAGTGCAGCAGCATCTGATGCTTCTCTTTGGACTACAGAGGGCTTGAATCTTAATCTCAGAATTGTAGGTTCGAACCCAGTGTCAGAAACTCAAGATATATAATCTAATTGCCAAATGGCTCCTTAAACCTAGGTTATGGTCGCCGCAATGGAATGTCTAGGCGCCCTTTTTTTTTTTTGTAATGGGATTTATTATTTTTATTAATTTCATGTTCTGTACCGCTTTGTATTTTAAAGAACAAATCTCAAAGCAGTTTGCAACACATTAAAACACCAAATAAAATGGATCCAGTGCAGGCCAGCCAGCACCACAAAAGCATTGATTCAATATGTGGATCCTCACAGATTTTCAAGGCTATTTTTACATAGGATGACAGTGAAACTATCAACAAACCACAGAGCATCTCTCTGGACACAGAGATGTGATGGTGGTTTTGAGGGAAGCCCTTGTAAGCCTCCTGAAGATCCATTTGGACCTGTGATTCGGATCCATGTTTTTGTGCCGTGACAGCTCTGGATCCATAATTTTTATGCTTCATTCAGTGGAAGCAGATGGGAGCTGTGATTTGGTTGGGATGTGTGAGGAACCTGTGGAAAAATTACGCAACGTCCAATATCCATTTTACTGTATTTGATATGTCTCGTTGCCTTCTTTCCTGTGGCACCCCACTTTCTCTCTCTGGTTGCTACATTTTCCTCCCATTTGCCCATGTCGGAAACCCCCCCCCCCAATTTCCCACCTATCCTTCCTGCTCCCCTCTTACGCTTTTGGTTGCTTCGCTTTCTGTTCAGCTGCTGATCTGTGTCAGCTCAGGTGCCGATCCGTGTCTTGAAAATGCACATAGAGTTGAAAGAAGGAGTGTGAGAAAGTGATGCTTTTCCCACTTCCTCTTTCACCTTTATGTGTTTTTGAGGGACGGGGGAGAAATGGTAACAACCCTCCCCACCACATAACAAAGGGGTGGGGGGCTCATAGGCTTCATGGTTGCTAGGGGAAGCCACATTGCCTCCTCTGTGACTGGCAGGAGGACTTCTCCAGGATTGGAGGAGATGTCTTCTAGACCTGTTTTCTCTGATGCTCTGGATTGAACCTAGAGACCTTCTGCATGCAAAACATGTATTCTCTAACCGAGCTATAGTTCCTCAAACTTTATTAAAACATGACTTGGCCGCCATTTTGGATCACCAGCCAGTTTTCTGCTGCAAAGAAGTGTCAGGTGTACTCTTGGCTATACCCATGGTACATGTGGGGTGATGCTAAAGCCTGATAGGCCTGGTCAGTGCACACGACTCACATGACTTGTCTGTGCCCCAGAATCCTCTTCAGGGATTCTTTTGGAAATAAGTCTGTGTGGAAAGGGTTACTTAGGGATCAAAAACACTGAATACTGCTGGACTAGGTGGAGCTGCCTAGCAGGTAAATTTTATTGCATTGTAAGGAAGTGGTTGAAGGAAGTATTCACCCCTGATTTTAAGACACAGGTCTCTCTCTCGGGGATGGGAAACCTGTAGTTGCAACGCCTTCTGGAGGGCTGCAACTGCCATCAGCTCCAGGCAGCATGGCCAATAGCTAGGAGTAATGGGAGTTTGGAAATCCTGAAGGTTCCATGCAGTGTTCGAAATTAGCCAGGCACATTTTGTGACTGGCATGGGTCCAGTTACTTGGAGATCTCTGGATGCTAGGTTGGCAACTAGGGAAAGCAAAATCTTACCTAGAGAAGAATCTGAAATATTTCTCTTGAAGCTTAAATTTGTTTTATTCTGGATTGTTTTATTTGATGTTTTAATGTGTTGTATACTACTTTGAGATTTTTTCCTTAATATATAAAGTGGTATAGAAATAACAATAATTATTATTAATAATAATAATAACAACTCAATTGCAAACAAACAAACCCTGGCACCTATACATTTCAGTTGTGGCGACCATAACCCAGGTTTGGCGATTAGTTTATATATCTGGATTTCTAACACTGTTTTCATGCTCACAGCCTTCTAGGCCTCATGCCTGCTTTCGGCAGTAACCCACAAAATACTCCTTGGGTTGATTTTTGCTGCTGCACAAACCTTACAGAAATGAATAAGACGCTGCAGTTGTGCTTGGTTGTCTGCTCTTTTTGGCAACAGTACTTTGCCTGACACATATTTGGCTTCAGAGAGACTTGATATTTCTAAGTGAAGGTGACCAGATGGGAAAAGGAAAGACCAAGTTCTGATGACCCTTAAGGATGGGGGAATTTTGGCTGTGCCAGCGGTTGCTCTTCTGCACAGCTCTTAAGAGAGCACCAGAGCTGTGTTGCCTTTTACATCTGGCCACCCTAGTGGAAACATGTTTTGAGCCCTGCTGGAGCCAAGGACCTAAATATGGGTAAACGGATCCAGCAGAGCTCGGGCTGTGCTCTATTCCGCAATTGCATGTGGAATTCTGCTGTGTCAGTATGTGAAGTGTGGCTGTGGCCTTTTACTGAGATTGCTCTCTGTGTTTGTGCATGTCATGTGCTATGACTACCCCTTAGTTCTCTTACTCATATTGGTATTCTAGGAAGTGTCTCTAAAAACAACAACAGAAGCTGGCTGCTTGCTGTGGCCTTTGTGCATAGCTCTCTATGTGCTCTATTTGCTAGCTAACACATCTACGGCAGGCATAGGCAAACTCGGCCCTCCAGATGTTTTGGGACTACAACTCCCATCATCCCTAGCTAACAGGACCAGTGGTCAGGGATGATGGGAATTGTAGTCTCAAAAACATCTGGAGGGCCGAGTTTCCTATGCCTCATCTATGGCATGCATAGAAGTTAAAAGCAGTGTTAAAAACTCAGATATGTAATATAATCGCCAAATGGTACCTTGAACCTGGGCTGCGGTCACCACCTTGGAATGTCTTGGTGCTGTTCCCCCCCCCCCGATGGAATTTATTATTACAATTATTATTATTAATTCCATTTCTATACTGCTATATATTTTAAATAACAAATTTCAAAGCAGTTTACAGCACATTAAAACGTCAAATAAACCAACCCAGAATAACACCAATTTAAGCTTCAAGGAAATTACTTCTGGAAGTGACATTTTGCCAACCTGGCATCCAGAGATTTCCACATGGTCGCAACTGGACCTGCGCCAGTCGCAAAACGCGCCTGGCTAATTTTGAACACTGGTTACAAGAGGCATGAAATAAAGATGGTGAAAATGCTTAGCTCGCAGCACGTGGCTAATGGAATACTTTTGCAACGCCATTTTTCGTGGTTTCCAAGACAGTAGGCATTACCTTAAATCAGGGGTTGGGGGGACCTGTGGTACTCCCGATATTGATCTGACTAGAGGTTCTATCATCCCTGGCTGTCGGTTCTGCTGGCTGGAGCGGATGGTCTCTTGAGAGTCCCATCAGCATCCGTAGGGCTGCAAATTCTCTTATCCTGCTGCTTCAGTGTCTGGAAAGTATTATACTTGGGTAAATGATTCTCAGCACTGAGAACAGTTTGGGTTTTTATGAGTATTGCTACTTGCCAGGGCAAAATGAATTTTTAAGGCGAGAGAGAAATCTCACTCTTGTACGTACGCTGGAAAGTCTTTCTCTCCAGAAATTTAAGGAGCGTAGTCCATTCTAGAAGCCTTTCCCATTCGCCTAGAGCCACTCTGGTTGCCCAGTGACAGTAGAAATTCACTCTTCACCTGCTGAGTAGTGCAGTCCATCTTTTCTGCGATTGAGCTATAGCTTTGAGAGCAGATGCTGGGGCTGAGGACTCGCACAGATTAAGCCTAGGGAAGTGTAGTCAATGGATTCATATACAGTAATTTGGTATCTTAGCTATTTGGGGTTACCCGAAATACAGGAACGCTTATAATATTTCATATTTTAGAATGTTCAGAGTGACTGCTACCTTACTGTAATCTTTACAAAACACCTGAAGTGGTAGACCCATATTGCTGTTCCCATGTTGTTTATAGAGCGGGTTTTCCTCTAAGGCAAGGTTTCCCAAACTTGGGTCTCCAGCTGTTTTGGAACTACAACACCCATCATCCCTAGCTAGCAGGACTAGTGGTCAGGGATGATGGGAATTGTAGTCCCAAAACAGCTGGAGACTGAAGTTTGGGAAACCCTGCTCTAAGGCTACCTAGCACATTTATTGCCAAGGCAGGGGACTTCCCCAGGTGGTCATTCGGTCTTTTAGCCTCTGTGATGCCACAAGCATGCTGACAAAATGAGATTTGCAAAGATAACATGGAGTTCCTAGAAACACTCCACTATCTTTTCTAACCCCTGTGTTTTTAGGACTCCTTACTGCTGGGCTTGCCTTAATGGCTGTGCTGAGCTCTTTCTCTTCTTTGCTGACTCCCAGCGGCACACATGCCATTTCCTCTTCTGCGCCCCTTCACAAACAGCTCTGTGCGCTGTTTCCCCAGCCCAGAAACTGTACTGACTTGTGTGCGTGTGGCTTTGCTTATTGGTATTGATGAAAAGACAATTGAGTCTTCCATTTGGGTGGAGCTCATACAAGAAAAGAGAGCGGGAGCAGGACATATGTGAAAGAATATGAACTCTTTCCCTGACCCTGGGGAAGATCCTTTATTTACCTGTGTGTATGCCTTTCCTTTCCCTCTTTTGGCATCCTTGCGATTTAGTAAGCAGCCCGCCTCTACTGGTTGCAGAGCCAGGCACTCTGAAGACAGTGGGCAGGTGCATAAAATGTTAAGCAACCCTTTGCCTCGAGGAGTGTGATTCGTTACTCGACACCCTGTGGCTGAAGCAGCTTTTTTGCACGTACCATTGCTAAACTTCATTCGTGGGTGAATTCATGTTTCCTGCTCACTTTTCTTAAAGAAAAGGCCAACTAGTCTTTGGACCACAAATACTTTGGGAGGCAGTGGATGCATACAGAGTTTTTTTTCCTATACACCGCAACAAAATGTGTATAGGAAAATACAAACTCTGAGCAGTTCCCAGGAAAGCGAAGTCCATAGTGATCTGGGCATCACCTCTTTTTTTTTTGCTGTGTAAGCACACATTTAATCACTTTTTCGCATTTAATTGTGCACAGAGAATCTCTGCTGCTTGTTCACTCTCAGCAACAGGCTGTTGTGATTCACATGTTGTTTTTTGTGAATCCTGAGGCTGGGAGAAACTACTGAATAGAGATGTGAACTATGATTTTTGGGACGAAAGCTGCAGCATTCCCGTTCATTTCTTCCAGGTGTGTTAGCACAACTGAGCCCTGTTGTGACTCGCTGGCCTGTAGTGGTGTGGCAGATGTGAGGCCAAAGCCACTTATATCGTAGAGGGCAAGAGGGTTGATGTGCATGTAAACAAACAATCAGGCCTCCTTATATCTACTGCCACCAGTGGTATGTGGCCTGGCTTTTCCAGTGTACAGTGGTACCTCGGGTTAAGTACTTAATTCGTTCCGGAGGTCCGTTCTTAACCTGAAACTGTTCTTAACCTGAAGCACCACTTTAGCTAATGGGGCCTCCTGCTGCCGCTGCGCCGCTGGAGCACGATTTCTGTTCCCATCCTGAAGCAAAGTTCTTAACCCGAGGTACTATTTCTGGGTTAGTGGAGTCTGTAACCTGAAGGGTATGTAACCTGAAGGGTATGTAACCTGAGGTACCGCTGTAGTTCTGTACTGACTAAGGCTGACTTTGTTGCAATGGGCCAAGTTTGGCTACTGCCCTGTAGTTGATGGCTGAGAAAAGCACTACTGCAACCCCATATTGGCTGTGTAAACACTCTTGTGCCTTTTGATGTAGAAACATACTGTCCTGAGTATACATGTGATCTTTTACCCCATAGTACTTTGTTGTGTGTCCAAAGCCGTGATGGTTTATGCTTCCATGTTTCTAGCGACTTAAATAATATATAGAACTCTTAAAAGCTTTTTGTATGCTGCTTTGATATTTAAAAAATCCTCAGTTGGACACTGATGCTCAGAAATGTGCCTGAGCGTATGCCCTGTTTCATTCACTTGAAGCAGGAATAGTAACAATTGGGTCTTGGAAGATACAATATTGAGATTGGTTGATCAAGCTGCCCTTGTTTAATGTTAATTGAACACCCAACTACTTTGAGACACAGTATGTCATCACCATAATACTGTATGTGGCGTAATTACTAAAATCTGAAGTGGGTTTGTTTTCTGTGTACACAGTGGGGTTTTTTGTTTTCAGATTCTTTTATTTGATGGTGCCTTCCTAGAATTCCCAGTCTGCTCTTTTTAAAATTCTCTGGAGTTCAATTAACACACACACACACACTCTGTGTATGTATATATAATATATGCCATGTTAATGGCTGCTCTGCTTCTTTGGTTTTCCTGTCCCATTGACAACCTTCCATAATCATGGAAGGAGACCCCAATAGAACAGCAGGCTCCCTGCCATAGACAGTTGCCCTCTAGTTCATTGGAGGGAGCAGAGTAGACCAGCACGTTCGCCCCCTCATCCCCTGAGGAAAAAGAACACCTGAATAGGTTTTATGTTGTGCATTGTTTGCAGTGGGAGAAGACCAGCTTGTGGCGCTTGTGACAAGACTTTTGTACATGGTGTCTTGTCAATAAAATTACATTGGACCTGGCATGCGGCATAGCAAGATGGCCATGCCCGCTTGCCTTGCACAGGATGCTATTTTGGTAATAAGCTGTCCAGTGTGCTGTTGCTGATAGGTGTATTTTTAGAAGTGGGGTGCCAGGTTATTAAATCCTGTGGCTGAAATAATTCTCAAGAGTGCAGATGCTTCTTGCTCCTTAGCAATTTTGTGTGTGTGGTTGAGACTCCTCTTTACGCAATGTGCATGACTCAGAACATACCTCTACAGGAAAATTTAGATTTTGCTATAGTGTTTATGCAAAATAGCTTCAATCCTCGGAATACTAAATTGAGACCAAATCAACTTGAGTTTTTAGACCTTTGGGATTTTTGCAGTGATGTTGTATATGTCTGTGAAAGGACAATGCCCAATGAATTGAGCTGAATTAACATTGCAGCCCTTTGCAGTCTTCTGGAGGGTAATTCTGTTGATGTGACTTGGTCTTCTTCCCAAGTATGTGGGTACTTGCTGCAACCTTAGATGGTTTGTCATCTGTTCTGGCTGCCAGTGTATGCAATGCTTTATAAGGCTCGTGGCATCTTTCTTTGAAACAGCTACGTCTTTCCTAAAATAATCTTTCAAATGTGATCATTGAATATGTATCGAAAGTGAACCTTTCTGAAAACAGAAAATGGATTCATGCAATTGAATTGAACTCCTGTGGACATGTATGGTCATGTTTGCTATCTCTAGCGCTCTTGAAGAGAGCAGGAATGGATTTTTCATTGCATGATCTACATAATAATTGGTGACTTTTAGACAGGTATCTTAATTCAGTTTTCCAGGTTTTTGGACGATCGTGCAATCCAATAAACTTACCTTGGAGTAAGTATCCTTAAACTCAGTGGGGCTTACTTTTGAGTAGACCTACAGGGGAGTGCGCTGTATGGGTTGATCTCACACAAACATATTTAATGTATTTTGTGTTTTTGATGACCTGCATCTACTGATAAAAGTTTGGGAAATGGCTTTTGCTTTGTGTAGATTAGCTAGCCGTTTAATCAGCTCTTTGGTCTGCTCAAATTGCTATGTAAAAATGGACTAGGAAATTGTCTGTTTCGCTTCCTTGGTTTCATAGCCACGTGGCATTAGTACCCCAGGGAGTTAACTGATGCTTATCCCATTAAGATAGAATGGTTCAGCATTTATTTTGGGTCATAGAGTAGTGGTCATTTCGTTGAGAATCTGGCTCTAAAATTGTAGGTGGATTATGACACCACCAGCAGTGTAGGGCTTGTAGTGTTGTTTGGTCTCAGTTTATTTTGCTAGGATACAGAGATGTCTTCTCAGGTGTGCCAGAACTTCCATGCTGACTGTGAAGCTACCTTGAACCAGCTGGTGAATCTGGAGTTGAATGCTAGTTATGTTTATCTGTCTATGTCCTACCACTTTGACCGGGATGATGTTGCCTTGTGTCACATGGCCAAGTTCCTGAAGGAGCAGTCCGAAGAAAAGTGGGAGCATGCAGACAAGTTCCTGAAATACCAGAACAAGAGAGGGGGGCGCATCTTGCTGAAGGACCTCAAGAAGCCAGAGAAGGACGAGTGGGGCAACAGCCTGGATGCCCTGCAGTCTGCCCTGCAGCTGGAGAAAAGGATGAACCAGGCCTTGCTGGATCTGCACAAGCTGGCAACAGAGAAGGGAGACCCTCATCTGTGTGACTTCCTGGAGTCTGAGTTCCTGGAGGAAGAGGTGAAGGTGATCAAGCAGCTGGGAGACCACCTCACGAACCTGAGGCGCCTGGGACTGCCCCAGAATGGCACAGGGGAGTACCTGTTTGACAAGCTCAGTTTGAAGAGCAGCAGCTGAATCCTCTCATCACTTTAGAAACAGAGAAAAGTCAAGTTTGTTTAGTGTAATGTTCAAGAATAAAATAAATTAAAAAAAAAAAATTGTAGGTGGATTATGGTAATTGCTACTAGGTAAATTACTCTACTGCAGGAGTTGTTCCCCCAAAGCAATAGTGTGGGGTTAAAATTGGTTTAGGGTACATACTCTGGATCACAGTGCTTCTGGGTTGTTAGTGTTAGAAGGATGACATTTACCTCCCCAATGACGATGCACATGATATTTCAATAACTAGCTGGAGAATCCCACATGTCCTGTGTAAATTGTGCTGTGATTCTTTGCAAAATGACATTGCGGTCATTTGCTGCTATTCCCAGGGGAACTTGAGATTCCTTTATATTAGTTGCTTTACTTGTGGAAATGACTCAAAGTGACTTATAGACGCAACAGAAATTCTAAAACCAATTACAATAAGTGCAGTCAATTAATAATAATAATAATAATAATAGTAGTAATAATAATAATAATAGTTATACCCCGCCCATCTGGCTGGGTTTCCCCGGCCACTCTGGGTGGCTTGCAACAAAATATTAAAATACAGTGGTCTGTTAAACATTAAAAGCTTCCCTAAACAGGGCTGCCTTCTAAACGTCTGGTAGTTGTTCTTCTCTTTGACATCTGGTGGGAGGGCGTTCCACAGAGCGGGTGCCTCTACTGAGAAGGCCCTCTGCCTGGTTCCCTGTAACTTGGCTTCTCTCAGTGAGGGAACCGCCAGAATGCCCTTGGCGCTGGACCTCAGTGTCTGGGCAGAACGATAAAGATCTACCCCCCTTTACATTTACACAAAAGACAGGTCTGTCATCTGTCTATCTATCTATCTATCTATCTATCATCTATCTATCTGTCATCTATGGCATATGGTGGCTTGGGAGATTTTCCAATCCTTTGCTTGGAAAAGGTTTGCTTTGCTTGGTTTCCTCCATGACACTCCTGGCCACTGAAGGCAGGAATTGGATGAATAGCTTTTATTCTCTATTTGTAGGAAGTTGCTTTCTGTTCTCAATACATCAAGAGTGTTGTTATCTAGGGTGAACAGGTTACCATAATATAATTTTTTGATTTTTTAAAAAATGTACATATGAATGTAATCAAAAGGTTATAGGCGGTTGGAATGAGATTCTTAATCTCAGGGTCCTGGGTTTGAGGTCCACGTTGGGCAAAAGATCCCTGCACTGCAGGGGGCTGGACTAGATGGCGCTCCTGTTTCCTTACAACTCTGCAATTCTGTGATACCAACTTGCCACCCTGATGGCTCCTACTTCTTCTGCTCTGCATTCCATCTCATCTGTTTCCCTCTTCATGCTGGCGCTTTGGCTGAGGCAGTCAGCTCTATCTCCATGTTCCTTTTTGGAAACTGGGGAGGTGAGTACAGACACCAATTCTCCCCCCACCCCACCCCCTAGATCTGCTCTAGGGTGAAATGTAGGGTGGAGCCCTGGAGTGTTTCCCCCTGCATCTGGGAAGGTAAGCCTGGCACTCTCATGCGGGAGGCAGATGTTTGAGCATTCTGCGATGCTGGCAGGTTGGCAAGATGTTGACATTCAGGTACCAGCACTTAGATTAAACCAAACTGTGCGTTCATTCAAGCAAGGCTGTTGTGAAGACTACTGATGGGATTCTGTTTGGCGGTGCTGGTCTTTTAGAAAAAATACATTTTTAGGGGCTAGATATATTTTACAATATTGGTATAAGGTTAGATTCCCTATTTGGGGACTTCCCTGGCTTTTTTCTGGCCCACGTAGGACCAGTCTGGATAGTTGGCCTTGGTGAAGATTTGACGTTTTCTCCCCCCAAACAGTTTTTGATCTGGTCATCCACTGAAATGAGGCTGCATTTTAAGTTGTATTTTAATCCTATTTTTAAGTTGTATTTTAATCACTTGTTTTTATACCTGATGTTAGCTGCCCTGCGCCTGGTCTTGGCCGGGGAGGGCGGGTTATAAATACAATTTATTATAAATAACAATAATAATATAAATTTTATTATTATTTGTAGTTGGTATGCTCACCATAGGTGCTGTGGAATGTGTGGGTGGGAGAGAGTGTGACCTTTCACCCTGGAAGTGTTTTTTCTTGTGGCAATGATGGAGAATCTCTGGTCTGACAGGGGCCTTAATTAGGCCTTCAAGCCCCTTTTCTCCAAACTGTGCTCACCTGCCCAACACCTGATGTCACAGGTAACATTAGAATGATGTCAGGTGATTGACAAGCCAATCAAAAAGACAGGTTTGGGAGATGGTATTCATTTTTATATTTCCACCTGTCAAGAGTTGACTTGCAAGGAATGGGGAAGGAAAGATTTGGCCTGCCAGCGGGATCCATTTCCCTACTTACAGCCTCAGTTCATCTTGAATTAAAAATGGTGTCTCATTTCATATTTATAAATTGGACTCTTAAGCCTGCCTTGAAATCTGGAATCACCACAGGCGCCATCCTGAAGCAGCTTAGGGAGCAGTGAAACAGGAAGATGGTGAAGGCCGGCATTGTGAAATAAAATTCCTTGAAATGCAGGGGTGTGTGTGTGTTTGAAACTGTTTCCACCGTGTTTGGCAGGTCTCTCTTGCCTTCACCCTAATAGGACATACACGGTGTGGCAATCTCTCATTGTCCGAGGAGCGTCCCAAACATTTTTTTTGCTGCTGGCCTCTTTACCAGAAATAAGAGCAGATTTCTAAGACCCTGTTAAGCTTGTATCCTTTGTATTAGCCACACGCAAAGATACTGCACTCATTTAATAAAACGAACACCTTATAGCATCCTTTGGAGTTGATTGGTTTTGTTTTGCTTAGGAGAGAAGTGACACAAGCAACGCTAGGACTGTCCTTTTCTCGTTTCCTGGTGCTTGTTGTTGCTGATGCCACTTCAGCCTGTGTTATGTTTTGATTCTTCCTGCTTGTAGATCATCATACAGACAAGCAAGTGAAGGAATTTGAATCGTGGAAGCACGGTGCCATCGTGCCACAATGTCACATGCTATAAACAAGAGGCATAAGAGTTCTCTTGGCATTCACAGGCGTTGAGTCATATGACCCAGCACTATCGAGGGGAAGTAGACCTCTGGACAAGTAAACCCTATTAAAAAATGTGTGAATAAGTCTGGCTTAGTATTATTGGCAGAGGATTTGTATTGAGCCCCTTTGAGGTGGAAACTTATGGGGCGGCGATCCTTGTTCTGTTCTGAAGTTTAAAAGTCAGTTTGAAAACGAGCGCAGAAGGATGCACGCTCTTTCTGTATTTCACTTTGTGCTCATTGGCAATAGGATGTAAATTGATCTTATGTGTGATGAGACTTGGTCAACCTACTTCTGTTGTATGGTTCCTGTTACTGAGATAGCCTTCCTCCTTTGCCAGTCAAGTTCATAGATCTTCAGTGTTCTCTAACTGGCGATGGAGTTTGTTGGCAGAGGTGAGAATGTCCCTGAGCTCCTCATGTCCTGGTACCAGGATCTGCCCCTGAATATTGCAAAGGAGATGGGAGGCATCATCTCACTGCTATGTTGTTCCCAGTTGCCTCCAGGTAGTAATCCTCTGAGCATCTGTCTTCAATGAACAGATGTTGGATGAGTCATGTCAAAGTAAGCTCTTACGAATCATTCTTCTCCCTGTCCATCACGGCTTTTCAGTAGACATTTTATGGGAGATGAGTGGGTAGTGATCCTTGCATCTAACCAGGCCTATGTGCAGGTACCAGTATAAGGAGAGTCTTGTTGAGAGCCTGAGGGCCCTACTTCTGCCTCTCTCCACCTGGCCCAGGGCGGGGCCTGACAGGCTTCAAAAGGACTGCTGCACAGCAAGAGAGTACTGCTTCTTTTTAAAATTGCTTTTAAATTGTTCTTTAACTGGGCTGATCGACATCCTATGCCCTTTTGAAGTGTGTTGGGGGGGGTTTGTCGGGTTGTTTTTGTTTTGACTATGTATTTTGTGGTTTTGTGTTCTGATTTTGTGCTGTGAGACCTGCAGGTATAGAGGCGGTACAGTCGTACCTTGGTTTATGAACTTAATCCGTTCTGGAAGTCCGTTCTTAAACCGAGGCACGCTTTCCCTAATGAGGCCTCCTGCCGCCAGTGCCCTTTCACCGTTCAGATTCCGTTCTTAGACTGAGGTATAGTTCTCAAACTGGGACACTATTCCTGATATTACTGTGGAGTTCATAAACCGAATTGTTCTTAAGCAGGACTGTTCTTAAACCGAAGTACCACTGTATATAAATTCAATAAATAATAATAATAATAAATAACATAAGTAGCAGGTTTAGGATCACTTTCCATATAATGTGAAAATGGAATTATTATTTAATTCTAGCATGGAGATGAACCTTAGCTTGGAAAAAAAACTTTTAAGAACACTAGGAATCTGATACGTATTGCAACTTATTGTTGTGAGATGCTGGGCCTCAAGTCTAGGTGGAAATGCTTGCATTGGCTTGCTATGGAAGCCGCCTTCTTCCCTGATCCAGTGTCAGTTGCCTGTGTTCTTCAGTGCTTAGCGAAAGTCCTGATGCCCTTGCATAGGAAATCATTGGTCTTTATTGCTGCTTCCTATGTTTCAGGGTTGACTCCTTGCATTGGAAAGAGGCCATGGAGCTGGGCACTGGAACATAACTGTTAACATGAGAGTCAGAATGGACTTCCCATATCTGCTCATATGGCTACCATGTGAATAGCACTGTGACCTTGGTGTCAGGAAGGAGAGTTGTTTTTGTGTCTCTGTCATGGGAAATGGTTATCACTTGTTTGGTGTCATGTATTGAAATCATAGAATTGTAGAGTCGGAAGGGATCATGAGGGTCGCCTAGTCTTAACCCACTGCAATGCAGGAATCTTTTGCCCAACATGGGGCCTTGAACCCACGAACCTGAGATTAAGAGTCTCACGCTCTACTACCGATGGAGATGCAGCATTGTACAATACTCAGGGAATTGGAGTTATGAGTTCAAATTCCTTGTCATCCATATGGATGACTTGGGGAAGTTTGACATCTTAGCACCAGGTTCCATGTCTGTAGAATGGAGGTAATAGCTGTAAGATCATTAGCAGGAGCTATAAAGCACTGTGGGTTGTTGTTTTCTTAAAGTTGTATATGAATTGCAAATAATTCATAATAAAAGTTTAAACATTAATCTATTAGATGAATTTCTAGCGTTTACAACTGCATTGGACAAAACCATAAAATAAAATGGGGAAATAATTTTTTGTTAGTAGCAGCAAAACATTACTTGTTAAAACATCCTGTAAGCCAGCTCTGAGCATTTTGAGTGCAACTTTGGCTTGTGGGGGTACAACAAACAACAATAAACCTTGTTTATATGATTGTTGTAATTAATACAGCTGTAATTAGACACTGGGGGCAAAGTTTGGGTTTTCCAGCAGTCATTTATATTTAATTATTGGAGTCAATCAATTTTGTTTAATGGGTTCTGATTAATATATTTCTGTGAGTAAGATCGTTTTGGTGATTGCCGTTGCATGGATTTTATAATAATTTGATCTACTGAGAGATACAATTTTTTAAACCAATGAATCTTTATAATAGCACATTGATGGGTATAACAAGTGTTCCTAGTCCTAATGAATTTGTGAGAATTCACCACAAATCAATTGCATTGCATCTAGATAATCCATGCTGGCTTCAGCTCTGTGTGTGTGTGTGTGTGTGTGTGTGTGTGTGTAGGTGTGTGTGTGTTTAGCGGCCCTGTTAAACAGGCTATTGTAGGTTTTCTATAGAGTGGAGAAGGTTCGGAGCTTTTTAAAATTAGGTGTGCAGTACTCTGGCTCACGCTAGATAACTGAACGTTCTTTTATTGCTCACTTAATTTAAAATGAGTTGGTTGTTAAAAAACAACAACCCAACAAAACCTGTTTTTAACATGATATGAGGAGGAGGGATAGCTCAGTTGGCAGAGCATGAGACTTTTAATCTCTAGGTTGTGGTTTCGAGTCCCACGTTGGGTGAAAGATTCCTGCAATTGCAAGAGGTTGGACTAGATGACCCCCGTGGTCCCTTCGAACTCTACAAATTTGTGAATCTGTATATGGATACATAAGATAGAGCCAAATTTGTGAACTGGAGTAGCTTGAGCTTGGTGACAAAGAAAGCCCCCCAATTTAAACCTCTCATCTTAGATGACTTTGAGCAGTCCTTTGTTTCATCCTTGATCGTCTATCAGCAATCCAGGCCTGCTACTGGCCTACTTTGCAGAGTTGTCGTGTTGGTTACCAAGACTCCTGTAGAGCTGTTGCTGTATAAAAAAGTGACAGCCTTAAAAATAAATAAATTCTGGAGCAGTTTCAGTGTCAATAAGTGCTTTCCACTTGTATCATGTGCTTTTACTATGTCATACTCTGGTCAGCTGCTTATGTTGGAAGAAGCTTGAGCATTGGATCAAAGTGAACTTTGTAAAAATCAGTGGGATATGTTATAGTAGTGGTTTTTAATAATGATGCATTTGCTACCTATTTATTAGATTTACATCCCTCCCCCCATTCATCATAAGATCCCAGGACAGTTAACAGAATAAAATACAGGATTAAAAACAAGTAAATAATAAAACAAAACAGCAAAACAATAACGCCCCCGTTTCTCACAGACACATTTAAAAGACTGTAGGGTTTTAATCAGCCAAAGGCCTGGTTGAAGAGGAATGTTTTCTCCTGGTGCCTAAAACACAGTCATACCTCCGCTTACGTATCCCTCTGGTTATGTAAACGGCAAACCTGGAAGTATATTTCCTGGTTTTTGCCATGCGCGCATGCGCAGAAGCGGTAGACTGCTGTGCGCACTCGCAGAAGCGGTCTCTACGGTTGTGAAAACCTCTGGGTCCTGGCCGGACCTCTGGAAAGGATCTCATCTGCAACCGGAGGTACCACTGTACAGTGGACGCTCGGGTTGCAAACGAGATCCTTGTGGGATGCATGTTCGCAACCCGCAGTGTTCGCAACCCGCGTCTGCGCACGCGCTGGTTGCGATTCAGCACTTATGCGGGAGGTGTGATTTAGCGCTTCTGCGCATGTGCGACCGCCAAACCCCGGAAGTAACCCGTTCCAGTACTTCCGGGTTTCGGTGGTCCGTAACCCGAAAAAACGCAACCTGAAACGTCTGTAACCTGAGGTATGACTGTATATATAATGAAGGCGCCAGGCAAACCTCTCTGAGCAGAGCATTCTGCAAACAGGGAGCCACTACAGAGAAGGCCTCTTCTTGTGTTGCCACCCTCTGGACCTCACGTGGAGGAGGCACACGACGAATCACCTCAGATGATGAACGCAGTGTCTGGGGCAGTTTATATGGGGAGAGGCGGTCTTTCAGGTTTTCATATTTGTCACGGGGAACAGAGGTCAGCCGCATCTCATTTTAGCCCTGCCGACTGTCCTGTGGGAGAGCGCCTGGCCTGCTTGTGTCTTTTTTCCACTGCAGCAATCTGTTCAAAAATTGGTACCCAAATGGAGAGGGATGTGGTCATCTGCTCTGCGACACGTGCAGCTGCAGGAGCTGGTTGAAAAGTTTGATAACTCGACTTACACCAGCTGGAATGAGTTGGCAGAAATATACATAAATGAGGTGCACTATACTGATAGATCTTTGCTTTTAGTCAACAGTGTGCCACTCCACTTTAAAAATAAATGGTTTGCTGGCAAACGCAGCTACTGTAAGTTCTGCTTCACTTTGTGGAACATAAAATGACTGTGGAAGGGGGAAGAGGAACTGGAGCATGACTGTGTGACAGGAGTATAGTGTACTTCAGTTTGTTTTCCAGCCTCAGGATGGTAAGTTTGCCTACTTTCCCCCCTTGTAAGACTCCTGTGTCTTTAACCACATAATCAAAATTGGAAATCATCTTGGCATTGATCTGCAACAAGGATGGAAGAAGTGTTGGTTACCTTCTGGGTTTCTGCATGTTTAAATAATACAAGCTGGGCTTCAGTTCCAAGCACGCTTCCATCCTGATATTGTGGATCTTGACCCTTGTGTCCTCTTACAGAATTGCAGTCTGATTTGTAAGCTCATCAAATTGGAATTGGTGTGTTCGGAACTGGTGCTTTGGGTTTTTTTGGAGTGAGTGTTTCACTTTTGCCTCCAACGTGTAATTTCAGAACTGATCTAGAGAGGTAAGGTGTGTTGCAGGTGTGAAGAACACCATCCATGGAATTGAATGCTACCTTGTGGGCTCTTTTGCATGGTAAGAGTTGGACAATGCTGGTTTGCCAAAGATGTCTTTAAATTTTATTTTTTATTTTTGTGGAAAGCCATTGAAGAGAAAAGGTGTAGCACCTATGGTTGCCAGCTGACCAGAAAACAATAGCCTGGCCTGTTTCTATGCTTGACAGCAACCTGACCTATATAAAAAAAAATCACTTGGTTTCCCAGAACAGAGAGGAACATTGGCAGATCAAGACATTTAACCAAGGTCTGGTTAAATGGAGAAAAATAATAAAGTTGGCAACTGTAACATCACCTCTGCAGTCTTTTTAAAGCATGGCTTCACACTATATATTTTTGTGAGGTAAATATTAAAAATGACAAGAGAGCTACTTTGTGAAGGAAGAGAAGCTAAGTGCCTCTGATAATTTAGATTTGAGGAAGGCTATGCCACATTGCTTGCCAATTCCCTGTCAAAATCGTGCAGTGGGTAGATGCAAGCCTTTGCAGCCAGAAGCTTGTACAACCGTTTTTGGGTTGCTTAATAGAGGAGTGGAGGTGGCTGGGATGTTTTGGGGAGGCAAAAGGTTTTATAACACACACAGACACACAAGCTGCAGATGTTTATTGTTTTGTGTGCAGCAGTTTCTTAACTGTGGCTGGGCAGAATCTGGGAAGGGTCACCAAGGCTTCATCATTTAAAATGTTATTTATTAGCAAAGGGCAGCTGGGACTAAGACGGTCACCCAGGAGGGCTTGGGTGGGCGAGGCTGCTCATCTCTCTCTCCCTCTGCCCCCAGCCCCTGCAACTGAAGTAGTTTTGCCCTGAAAACTTGTGATGGGGAGGGAGAGAGATAAAGATAAGAGATGGATTTGTTCTGCTGCAACTGTTCTGTTTGCCTGTGTTTGTAGTGGAGGAGAGGCGTTTTTTCTGTGGGTGCGGTTTTTGAAAGCTACCGATAACTTTAACTTTCACTCTTCGTTTTGTTTGTGCCTGCACCTCTGCCTGCTGCTCCTTTCTGTTTCCCTCAGCAAGATGGTCACGCTTAACCCCTTTCTTCCTTGGCAGTTGCTGAAGAAGCTCACAATCTCCTCTTCCTTCATCTTTGTGGGGGAGCTTGCTTACTCTTTGAGTTTCCGTAGGGAGAAATAGTGCTGGGAGTGGAGGGTGGAAAAGGGATGAGGCCCGAAGTTGCCCCCCTTTTCTTTCTAAGTTCCTTAGAAGTTGCAGCATGTTAACATAGGAACAGCATCCTCGAGACATTTCTGCTTCCAGTCATGCGCTCTCTTTGTGCACCGTTGTTATTAAGTGAGCGACGGGTCATTGTGAACCATGTTTTATACATTTTTAACTCCTTCTTTCCCTCTCAGGCTTTGCTAAGGGGGGAGAGGAAGAACGGGATTTAGCTTTCTAGGGTTGCAATAATACAGGCAGCTAAGCAGTAGTATCTTCTGCTTTAATGCAATTAATATAAATAGGCGTTTCCTATATGTAATTGTTCTCAGGAATGTAGCCAGGATTTCAGGGCAGAGCTGTAGCTGGCGATGAAGCACAGCGATGGTCCACTCGGAATGCTGTTTTTTCCTTAATCGTCTTAGGGTTTTGTTTCCTTCTTTTTGATCAGCTGCTGGGGTTGCCAAAGGGGAAACCAAGCGAGCATCACACAGCTTAACATCGTTTTCCAGGTCTCCTGTGTTTCTGTGTCAGATATTTTTGCATACTGGATTGCGGGTTAAATTGGTTGCTGGAACGGAATTCTGGGTGTGGAGTTCATTGCTTGCACCACAGCTTAAAACATTAATTGATCCACACATCTTGAGCTTTGACAAGTTTGGTTGACCGTGTGCAAAGAGGCTCCCAGCATTTTTGGACATTTTTATATTCCTGCTGGTAGGAGAAAGGACTACTAGATACTAACTGCTGGGTGCAGAGGTGCAATGTGTAGTTGTTGACGTAGTCATCGTGGCTAGGGTAGCCACTGATACTTAAGAAGCCATGTTCAACCTCCACTCTTTGAGGCAGCGACCTTTGAGTACCGCTACACTGTTGGAAACTGAGATTTAAAATCTAGGAGCCAGATGGCATCTTAAAACCATAAAAAAATGGTCACCACAACACTGTGCTTAGCCCCTCCCCCTTTTTAATAAAAAACCCAAGATTACAAGGCAAGAAGAAGAAGAGGAGTTTGTATTTGATATCCCGCTTTATCACGACCCGAAGGAGTCTCAAAGCGGCTAACAATCTCCTTTCCCCTCCTCCCCCACAACAAACACTCTGTGAGGTGAGTGGGGCTGAGAGACTTCAGAGAAGTATGACTAGCCCAAGGTCACCCAGCAGCTGCATGTGGAGGAGCGGAGACGCGAACCCGGTTCCCCAGATTACGAATTTACCACTCCTAACCACTACACCACACTGGCTCTCGGTCTCTGGGGCACTGCAACACCAAAAGACCCATGCCAGCCAGCCAGGCCAGCCAGCCAGGCATCAAACCTGGTGACCAAACATCTCAACTTCCTCGCAAAAGGCTGTTTTTTGCCTGTTGCAAAATGCCCAGGCGCTCGGCTGATTTTGAACGCTGAGTTGTTGTTGGGCATCACATTTGGGGAGAATGCTGTTGCGCTAGGGTTTTGCTTGAGTTCTTCCCATGAGCATCTGCTGAACAGGATTCTTGTACTAGAAGGGCGATTGGTCTGATCCAGCCAGACTCTGCTACTTCTCATCCCTTCTATGCAAAGTGGTGTCGTTGGGTGTCAAGCTCATAGTTCTCTCCCTGCTCCCCATAGGATATCTTTACATTTGCATCCTTATAAGCATAACAGCTTTACTTTTTATGAAAGGCTAAAGCGCTACTGTTTTTAACAGCTTGTTAGTTGTTTACTGTGCAGAATCATACGGCCAGTGTCTCTTTAAAAAAACCCAACAACTTTTTGAAATTAGCATTGTGACCTGAGTGCCCTGCTTCTGTTTGTGTATTCAGGTTGAGGTGGTGACTTTTTATAAATCACCATTTTTGTCTGCTGAATGTAGCATTCTTTGGAGGCTGAGACCTGGGTCCGTGATGAGATGCCTGCATGTGCTTGCATAATTCTGCATCCAGTTTTCAGGGGGAAATAATAAACACCTTTCAGTCACAGAGACGGCAACCCTAAACATTGTCATCTGGTGGGAAGCATTTGTAAAATTAGTGGAATAAAACATATGGATGCAAACGCCTATGCATTTTATGCGTTCGCTCCTTTTTCAAAGTTTGCTTTGGAGGGATGAGCTAACTGCTTTGCTTTCTCCATGAGGCAAATAAAATAATTGTCAGGCTTAACTGTGCAGCGAAGTTTGCCACCTAGTTGGGAGACTGGGCTGACCTCACAAGATTGTCTGGCTGTGGTTTCCAGCCAAAGATTCACTCTTTGAGAGAGTCTCACTTCTAGTGCTGAACTATTTTTTGACTCTCTGAATGAATGCAATATGTTAACACTCCCGTAAGCCCCAGGATTGCTTGGCTGCCCCATGCCTTGCCTGCTTCATACTGGCTGAAAAGGTACCATTGTTTGTTCTGCAAACACTGGGCAATGTTTGTTTCCAAGGTGACCGCCTTTCTGTTGCTGCTGTGTAGGGAAGAGCGGGGGAAAGTTGGTTTAAACACCTGGGAGAGCATCTTGCTTTACAAAAAAAGAAAAAGGGGGGGGGAGAGAAAAGAGCTGCTCTTTGCGGAGTTCAGATTGAGTTTTAATCCTTATGCACGAATATGTTAACATAATTAAAAGCCTTCTTTCCATTGCCCTTCCTGATGTGTAAAGAAGAAGAAGAAGAATGGAAAATTTATCAGATCAAATCATGGTGATGGCTTACAATACACTCCCCCCCCCCCAAATCTGGGTCAGAACAATGACTGTGTGGAAGAAACCATTGAACCAGCAGCACAAAGCGATAGCTAATCTGTACAAAATGATAGCAAGCGCAGCGATAGCCTGGAAAATTTGGGAGAGCTCTGTTGATGTCCTGAGGAAGGTTGGCTGCTGAAGGCTGGCAGGACCAAAGTAATAGATTTATTCTGGCACCCCCAAACCTTGGCTTTTGGCTTCTCGCTTTGCGAAACCGCATCATGCCGCCTCCGTCACAGAAACCTTGTGTTGTAACGTGCAGCAGCATAACTGCAGGCACTGAGTTTAATGGGATATTAGGTCATGCCTGTGCACCTGAGTAGGAGTCTGAGGACAGGGATGGGTAACCTGTAGCTGTCCCAGATGTTGCTGGGCTGCAACTCTGGCCATTGGCCATGCTTCTGAGGCTTATGGGAGTTGCAGTCCCAATAACATCTGGAGGGTCACAACTTTTGCACCTTTGCCTTAGAATAGATGCCAATATGTTTCTTCTGAGAGCTTTTATTTGCTAACCTTATACACATGTGATGTGAACTTTGGTTTCTCGGCTCCCTGCTGCTCCTCCTTTTGTTTCTGTAGGAAGCAAACTTAATGGATCCTTTCCCCAGACCCCAAGAGGCTGGTTTGGTACACATCTTTGTGTTTGGGTCAGCTGCTGTGCAGGCAGTGTAGAAATTCTTTCTTTTTTTATTACTTGTTCTGATCTTTTGCTGCCTGCCCTTCTCTCCTCAGCCTCTCCCCCACTCCAAAACTACATACAATTTATTTGAAAATGGTTTGCTAAAAAGTCAAAATGTGTGCAGCTTTTTTTTAATAAAAAAGGTCAGAGATGCTGTTAGCAGAACGTTGCCTTTTTCCCTCCCTATCAGGTTTAGTACAGTTCATGCGCAGGTTTCAGTAAACATTAACCACTTTTATCAGGGCTTGCAGTGTGTGGAATAGTTAGCAAAGAGAATGTGCTGAAAGACACCGACAAAATGAACAAGTCCAAGGTCAAAAGGATGGAAGACTTATATTATTATTATTACTACTACTATTTTTTGGTTTTAAGTGAGGGGATGAAGGGGCTGGAAAGCAAATCCATGCTCTTCCCTTCCATGCTTACGGTATAACTTACAGTTAAAAAAACAGCAGAGAGAGGCCATGAAGCTTGAGCAACTGTGCAAGAAAGTTAAACCGTCCAGTGTCACACAAGTGTTTTTGTCAGGGGTGATGTTTGAAAATTCTTGTGCATCAAAAAGGTGCTTCTAAATTGTGTCCTTTGAGGGCATATGCTGCAACAGCTTACTGCCTGAACTTATTGCCTGACTGAAAAAAACCCAATAATGCCAATTTCTGGCCCTATCCTGTCTGCAGAAAGTCTTGTGCTTAGCACCTCCCACTTTGGATGGCAACAATGTTGGAGAAAAATGGTCTGGAACTGAACCTGATCTTTTCCGTTTTCAAAATGTGTATCGTTTTCAAATCTTGACATACAGATGAATGCCCTCCCCAATAAACGTGCAGTAAATTCTAGCCGTTATTGTCTATTCTGTTCCATAACTAGGAAATTATATTGGCGAATTAATCTCCAGTCTACTTGCATGGCCCTCTCTAGACCAACAAAGCTTTGCTCCACTTTAAATGAGTAACTTAACCCAAGAGGTCTTGCCTGTAAAGTGCCATGAGGATTGAACTTTTTTGATCCCAAAAGTAAAGCACAAATTTAGGGTAAACAGATTTGCAGGTCACTTTGTTCTGTCTGAGCACGCTCTGTAGCCTTGCTGCCATTGCGTCATGTTATTGCTCATGAATGAATCCGATCGGCACTGGCAGTGTGCAACCCTGGTTAGACCTAAGTTTGGGAGATGGTGTGTTGCGTAGTTCTAATTTGAAATGTTCTGGGGCTGGCTGTGGCTTTGCTTGGATGACACGAGTTCTCAACTGCGTAACGTGATAGGCATAGCTGTCCTTGTGCAAACTGAGCAGTTGTGAGATGTTAGTTTTGGATGTGAAAATAGTAAGAGGCTTTCAAGGTAGTAAATGGGACATGGAGAGAGAGCGAGCTGTACCTGGTCTCTCTCGCTCGTGCTTTATAGAGGCCTTCAAATCCCTGGCCCTAGCCCTAGGTTAAAATTCCCAGCTCTGTCATTAATCCTTCAATTGCTGTTCATAAGTTAAGAGAGTTATAAGATAGGAGGGAAGTGCAGGCTTGATGGGAAGAATAAAGGGATGCACTTGACAAACTGTTTACTTTGCACTTTGGGGATGTGGGAATCTCAGCTCGGGCAGCGGGATTGTGCCCTTAGCTGCTTTTTGCAAAATTTCTAAAGGAAAGGGGAAGAAATGTTTCTTCTCATACATGAAAGCAGAAAATTAACTGTGAAATAGAACTACTGAACTACTGAGCTTGTTCAGTTGTACTGTGGCACGTATGCACACGCGAGGGTGCATGTAGTTGGTGATTAAAAATAGACTCTGTGTAGGGAAATTAGAGGAGTCTCCACATTGGAAATACTAGCTGCCTCATTCGATAAGCATTTTGCATGCCCGTGAGTCTTTAGTAAAGCCAGTCTTCTGTCATCTGGGCATATATTATACGCTGTCAGGTCTATTTCTTTCTTCTGTTTTTTAGCAGTATCATGCCACCCATAGCTCCTAAAGGTTCAGGAGAGGCAAATGTAAGGTTGTGTGTGTGCTACCCAATGTTGGAAGAACAATGCAATGGCAGGGTGTTTCAGATCCTTAACAAGTTGTTTGTATGCAGAGTTTATTTTTTTTTTGCAGTGGCTGAAAACCATGTTATAACAAGAAGTTTAAAAGTTTTTTTTTTGTCTGCTTTTGGGTCTCTTATCTGTATGTGTGCATGCATTCAAATCACACCCCACCCCCTTAAAAAGAGAGAAAAGAACAGGGTGTGGAAGGAGAAAATGCAGGTGTTAGGATGGATTTAAGATGTCTAAAGTTTCTGGTACACTGAAAAGCTCTCTTTCTCCAGTGATGGATGACACCTTCTGCAGTAACAGTGCACTGCTGTCAGTCATTGGGTGCGGGGAGCTGGGTGAACAGCTGGGTGGAGCTTGTTGATTGGTCCAGAGATGCCACATGGGGTTAGGGAGGAGGTGAGCCTCCGCAGCAGCTCCGGTTGGCTAATTTCCCTTGCTTGTACTTTGGCCTGCATCTTCATGCCTGTAGCTCTGGAAAGGGACCGAGAGGGGAGTGGAGAGAGATTACATTGAGAAGGCGGTATTGCAATTGCAGCCTTCGCATGGCTTACAAACACAGCTACCCTGCTGTTTCAGATACTTAAACATTATCGATGTTTCAACAGATGAACTCGAAGCCAGGAGAGAACAGGGAAGAGTTTAAAAGTTTTCTTTTGAGAGCATCAGAATTCCCAGGACGCTGGCCACGCTCGTGATACTTTAATTCAAACAATATTTTTCCCAGCAAAAACCCTCCTTCTATTTCTGCAGTTGCTGTGTTGCGGTGTCCTTGATCTGGTGTGTTTTTGAGCTCTTTTCTGATTCTGGCAGGGTTAGTTCACTTCGACATAGCAGCAAATGCTACGAAAATGAACAAGCCAATCTAGCAAAAAACTAGGTTTAGAAGCGGAAATTATAATACGAGAACCCAGATTTTCAGGCTCTGTTGGTCCCCTAGGTAAGTCGCTTGTGGTGTGTGCATCCCTGAGGTTCCTTAATAGCTAGTGGGTGCAACCCATAGTGGCAAGCAGAGCTCTGGCCCCACTCAGTCTGCATTTATTTCCTGGCACCACCCTGTTAAGGACACCGGCATTGCCCTTTGACATGCATACGTCCTTGGTGGGACTGGCATCATAAACTGTGTGGTGCCAGCTAGCACATGCACTCTGGTCAGGCCCAAAGCCCTGCTCAGTGCAGCTAGTACCAGGTTGCCCCCTCAATGGCTTACCCATATGTACTTGGCTGGCGCCACTGCTAAGACTGTCAGCCCCAACTGTGGTGTATGTATATACTCTCTTTCTGTGTGTAGGGGTGCCAGTGCCATTAACAAGGTGGCACCCATGCCAAGGGGATGGATTTCTGCTTGCCGTAGCTGCCACCCAGCAGAGTTGCATTAGCTGATCTGGTACCAGCCCTTGGCATTTCCCCCCATCGTGCTGAATACTGGCACCATGCCAGCATGAAGCAGCCAGATTAAGATTGTTATCTTAAAAAACTGGGGAAATAAGTCTTCTCCAAGCCTCCAGAGGATAATAAAATAGGAACCAGGCAAGCCTCTGCTCAAATCTCACCTGCTCTATAAGCTCACACGGAAACTTTAGGCAAGTTGATATGTCTCAACCTCTGCCTCCAACCTGCAGTAGGGTAGAATGCTGGTCTACTTTACAGGGCTGGTGTCAAGAATACTATGCGAAATATGCCGAGCCCTTAGAAAAACAACAGAATTTTAAGTTTTGCTTGCATTACAGCCAAAGTGTGGTTGTCTTCTAAATGTAGTTTAGAAAAGGAGCACCGCAGCTTTTCAAACAGGTGGGGAGTAACATCTTCCAAACCCTGACCAATCCCATCTTTAACTTTTTACTACTAACGCTGCTACTTCTTTCTCTCTCTTAATAAGTACGTTCCAAAGATTTCCTTGTGCTTTTCTTATCACTAAAAGGCAATGTCCTTCCTGTCCTCTGCTTGAGTGCACCTGTTACTCCTTAAAACTAGTCCGTGGGACCAAAATGTTCTCAAAGAGTACCCGTATAGAACTTAATAATTTGGGGGTTTGTTATCTTGTTAGAAAAAGCTGTGCATTTCCTATATGTTGCCAGGAAGAGGAGGTTCATGTTGCTGTGGAATTGACAGCCTGGCATCGTTCAGGAAAAATAGAACACCTCTGAATATTCTTTTCCACATTGAAAAGGGGGACCCTAGTTTTGGGGCTGAGAGTACAAACCAGTTAAATTTGGGGTGTCTGGAGATGATGTAAGATACCTGTTGGTCTCTTCAGGGAGGTTTGTGAAGGCTAGAGACACAACTTGGTTGGAAAATAAACAATTTTACTTACTGTTTCAACTCCCAATGTAACCCAGGAGAAGATTTGTGGACAAGCATTTGCAAAATAACAGGGGCACCCCCTCCCCACTCCAAGGACAGCCTTGAAATACCCTTTTGGTCAATTATGAAGGTCACATGTGGACCGATCTCCTAAAATGAGACAGAACCTTGCACATATAAATGGTTTGTAATCCTTGTTTCTCCGTTCCTGTTTCTCCTCCTGCAACCCCTCAACCTCCAGCTTGCTTGATGGCTTCACATACAGATCAAACATTGACATAACTGAGGTATTCTGAGCTCAGCTGGTTTTGTCTCAAGCAAGAGTAACCATTAAGGTGTGGGATCTGCAAACTGCTGTTCTGCCATTTAGGCAGAAGGCATGGTCTACCTGTTGAATGTATGGACTGGGGTTCTTTATCACCCTGGTATCACTAAAGGGATACTGTTTTGTGTAAAAAGCCTCTGGCTGAATAGCTCAGAACTCATTGAAACATTTATAAGGGGTTGGACTACAATGGCAGTTAGCACCAGATGTTTCCTTTTTCTGGTGCAAGTGTGGAAATGGTGTAGCTGCTATTAGGAAAGCAGACTAGGTGCTCCTTTTTAGTTGATGAAAATGCAAACTATGTATGTTAGAGTGTCAAAATGCCTTATTTTCCCGTTTTACTTATAAAGCGCATAATGCGTAGTCTGTCTCCCCGCCCCCCCCTTCACTCAGCCTCCTCTTTGCCATTCCTCCTCCCCAACCCCAGCTTTCCATATATTTTCTATTATACTGTTCATTTTGCCTTGGGGCAACCTTTTCAGTAATGAGTGACAATGCTCAACAGTAGCTCTCATTCATTTTCAGCGTCGCATGTGTGTTTATTTTTAATTGATATTCTGCATATAACATTTTCTGCAGCTGAGGCATCTCCCTCCCTCCCCCCGAAACACTTTTTTTAAAAAAACACTCCCTCTGAAAAGCGTCAGCAGTGGATTGTTTCATTTGCAGAACTTAAAGCCCCAGAACAGAGGCTCTTCCAGTTTTTATGAATGCCCTGTTTGTTGCTGGAAGCACAACTGTTCGATATAACTGGCTGCATCCCACTCTCCTTGGGTCCAGTTTGGTCTGCAGAAGGTCTTTTGCACAAACCAGATTTCTTGGGTGTGTTTGAAGCAACATCATTTTGTCTTCTGGCAGTTGAGTTCTTTTTTTATCCCTTTCCCTCTGTAAAAAGAGTAATGCACCTTTCCCTCCCCAGATGCAGACATAATCTATCTATCTATCTATCTATCTATCTATCTATCTATCAATAAATGCAGCAGTGCAGATGAGAACTGCAAAATTGTTATTTAGTGAACATGCTCAGGTGGTGATGGCTGTAACGTTTCTTGCTTTCTGTATATTTTGGGGCTTGTCTTAATGATCCCTTGCAGATTTGCAGAGGTCCCTCCGAATGACACATTGATTAATAGTAAGCACCTGCTATGCCCCACCTTAGAGCAGAGAAGGAGCTGCCTAGCCCAACTGGCAAGGTTGACAGCGCTATATTTCAACCTCTCTGGCTTGGCTGTCACTGCAGGTATTGGAACATTTGCAAGAGGCACTTGAGGCTTATGATGCCAATGCTTTGGGTGGCTTTGCAGAACAGGAAACAGAACACAAGTGGAGGTAGTACAGTTATTTGGGTGGGCTGGAATTATTATTATTATTATTATTTTAGTTGCAAACACCATCTCCCTTACTTAATCTGGATATCCAATCAAGTAGGGGCAGTGGGGTGACTGGGAAAACAAAAAAATGGCTGCCCCTCGTTGTGCTTATTTAGCTTGTGTGCATTCTTATTGATGAGAAAAGTCTTCAAACACAACCTCAGGACACTGCTTGTTTTAAAGAGTTGGAGGAAGTTTCAGTATGTTCACCATCTCATACAACAACGAGAGGAGTGGTCGCTATAGGAATTCCAAGCCCTGCAACCATTTAAAGACGCAGAAGCCTTGTTCGTTTTTGCAGAGCAGGGGTCCACAAATGTCCTTGTTACCTTGCCACTGGAAACTGCGTGTTGTAATTTGGTATGTGCAGCATCAGGAGAAGATACACAAAATTAAAAGATTTCCAGAATGGAAGCTGTTAAACTGTTGTAGCCAAGGCCCAAATTCAGATTGATGTGAGGAAATTATCTCAAGGGAGGGTTTCATTGGTCTACATTGACCCTGTCGGTTTGGGGTATTGCATTGGCTCAGCACAACTTTTAAGCAGATTCTTCTTTGAAACAAGGAAATAAAATCTATTCCAAAATATTCAGGCTTATTCAAAGTGGAGTATCAGCACTTTGAGGGTACAGTGTTAAAGCAGCTGATGTATGTCCTGTTCCGTATTGTTATGCTAAGCCAAATGATGGTTTAGCTGGACTGGCTTGTGGGCTCTGGAAGAGGCAATAATGGTCAGTTCATTCCTCCCTCCTAGTTTTGCTGCTGTGCTAAGCCAACAAACCATGACTCAGAAAATCACAGGGCAAACCTTGGTTACAGCTTGTGGTTAGCGCAGAGAGAGCTAAATTGTGTGATTTAGGATTGGATCACCTGGCACTGTCAGTGTGGAACGGCAGTAAAATGACTGCTGACCAGCAAAGCTGCTGTGATCTCCTTTCCAGGAGCTCACACATTTGTTCCAAACCATGGTTCAGCTTAGGGTGACCCCTGAACCATGCCGCTATGAGCTTTACCATGGATCTCTGTTACACACACACACACACACACACACACACACAGAGCTCTGTTTGTGTAGGGCTTGGACTGCTGAAGCAGCGTCCTGGATCCCAAGAGACCATCGTCATGCTTTTCATTGAAAAAACGATAAAAGGAGCGAAAGGGCCTCAAGCAATAAATAGCTCCATGGCGAAGCCATGAACACCTGGAGAAAGGGGTAACTTTGCAGAGCTGTGGGGCTGTGTTACTCCAGATTCTGGGCTGTAATGCTGGGAATTGTAACAAAGTGGGTCTCAGAAACTGGGCCTCAGCCTGATGGGTTTTGAATGGTACGGAGGCTTGCTTTTAGAACTTTGTGCCTAGCTTTCTGTCCAGCTCAGCTTTTGCACTGAGCATCTCTGAAGTGCATTCAAATAACATTACTAGGCTTTGAGAAGCCTCTTTATTTCCTACCTTCCTCTTTCCTCCTCCTCTGCTCTCGTTTTTTGTTGTTGTTAACTGCTCCATTGCCATGATTGATGTCAGCTGCTTAACAGCTGCTGAACATCTTCCTCTTTCCATCACTAGAATGCCCTCTTTTCTCTGCTGTTGTGTCCTGTGGTAAAGTTTAGCAGTTTCTTGTTAAGTAGGCAAACCTCTTATTTCCCCCCTCCCCTTCCTTCCATTGACATATATACATGCATGTGCCCTTGCAATGCTAAAGGAAAGGTTTGTTTTCTTTTACTGCATGGGAGGTGGGGTGGTTTGCAAGTTCGGACTGGCTAGACTTGTTATATTTATTTGTCGCTTACTGCAAAAAAAAAAAAAAGTCTCAAAGCGGTGAACAGTTTTTAAAAAAGGTTTACTTTGAAAAAAGGTGTTTTATTTGAGAACCTTCGGTTTTCGCAGTAGGAGAGGTGGCTAAGAGGGATAAAGGAACTTATGAAAGCAAAACGTGCGGAACAATTCAGTGCTACGAAATATAGATGTTGTATGCCTTAATAAACATTTGTGGCAGTCTGATGGGCTTCTTTTGAAACGTCACTTTAACACAGCGCAGCCTCTTAGAAATGTGTGAAAGAGAGAGGAGGAAAAGGGGCTGCGGATCTTCTTGCCAAGAAAGGACGGAGGGAGGGAAGGAAAGAAAGAGCAGAGTTAAACAGTACATACCACAAAACAGGTTAGGCAGGACTCTAAATCTAGTTATGAGTCTGCTCTGCCTGCTCTGAGGCATCTCCAGTAAACCTTCCTTCCTCCACCCCTTTAAACAACTACCCTCCCTCCCAAAAACAAAAACCCTTTCTTTTTTGGATCTGTTATGAAATAGTCTTACAAAGGTCCTCTCTTGCCTGTGCATGGGGTGGGCAGAGAGCGCCGGTGCTCTTGGCTGCTCCCAGCTGTTCCTTAAAGAAAGTCGATGGCGCACTTGTTGGTGCTCGTCAACCTTTGGAACAGGCAGCATTCTTTGCCGTGTGCCCTCTGTGGGGTTGCCTTGTGAATGGGGCAGAGAGGAGGGGCAGCAGCAGCAGCAGCGGCAGTAGGCAGGGGTGGAGCCGAGCCAGCAACTGTGGAGAGCTCTGCAGATAGCTGCTCTTTGGTACAGCAGAGTGGAACTTCCTGCTTTCAAGAGGCTTCTCAAGAACCCTCGCTTCGCATGCCTGCAAGGAATGATGTGAAGCCACTTGGTGGCCGACGGCAGGTCGTCAGAAAACTCTGGATCTGAACTAAGACTTCTGCTCACCTCACTGTTGTCTTTTTTTTTTTTTTTTGGTAACCTGTTTATGTCGGATTGTTGGATAAACATACCATATATAGCCTGGGATTCTGCTTGCTCCAGCATCCCACGGTGATGTAGGTTCTTCAGGAATACAAAGCATGCTTGCATCACCACCACCACCATATATTTGTACAGAGGGACTTGGGTGGCACTGTGGGTTAAACCACAGAGCCTAGGGCTTGCCAATCAGAAGGTCGGCGGTTTGAATCCCCACGACAGGGTGAGCTCCTGTTGCTCGGTCCCTGCTCCTGCCAACCTAGCAGTTCGAAAGCACACCAGTGCAAGTAGATAAATAGGCATCACTCCAGCAGGAAGGTAAACAGCGTTTCCGTGCGCTGCTCTGGTTCGCCAGAAGCGGCTTAGTCATGCTGGCCACATGACCCGGAAGCTGTACGCCGGCTCCCTCGGCCAATAAAGCGAGATGAGTGCCGCAACCCCAGATTCGGTCACGACTGGACCTAATGGTCAGGGGTCCCTTTACCTTTACCTCAGGTTAAGAACTTAATTTGTGCCGGAGGTCCGTTCTTAACCTGAAACTGTTCTTCACCTGAAGCACCACTTTAGCTAATGGGGCCTCCTGCTGCTGCCGCGCCGCTGCTCTCATCCTAAAGCAAAGTTCTTAACCTGAGGTATTATTTCTACATTTTTTATAGAAAAAAAAGCACTGCATAATAAAAAAAATAAAACAAGAACAACACAGTAATCCTGCTCAACGCATTTTAAAAGGGCACACATTAATGTACCCTGGGTTGCCAGGACACATACTCTTTGGTTTTCTAGCAAGCGGAGATGTAACAGTGCTTTTTAAAAGGATGCTGTGTTGCCCTAGATGTATGCTAGCACTGGAAATGCATGCTTACTGTCAAAGGTTCGCAGAGTCTGGCATCTTGATGAGGCCTGCAGACCAGCAGGTGACCCGTCACTGACTGGAGCTTCCAAAAGGCTGCTGCAGTTGCCAGAATTGTGGAGTTGGAAGGGACCACGCGGGTCGTCTTGTCCCAACCCCCTGCGATACAGGAATCTTTTGCCCAACGTGGGGCTCAAACCAATGCCCTGAGATCAAGAGTTTCAGGCTCTTGTCGACTGAGTTGTGATCCTAAACTCTAGGCCCTCCTTCACGATACTCTCCAGATTCCTGACAATGGAGAGTTTGGCAGGCAAGGCAGGCTTCCACGGCCGCTTAATCAGATCTTATCTACGCAGAGCACACCAGTTGAGGAGCAGCCTTGTATATATAATACATATGTGTTAGTATATGCAGATAGTGGGCAGTGTGTGGGGAGCACCTCGCACTTCCGTAAAGGTCTGGAGCTGGCCTTCCTGGAATGTGAAATAACGCATGATATTTATCACGACTGCACCTTTTCCCATTCTCTACTAATCATTTCCTTATTTGTTTTTGTGGGGCTTGTTGGGTGCAAAGGGGAAATGGGACTTTCTGAACAGGCTGCTAAGCAAGAGCGGTTTGTTGGGGTGGGTAGACCCCACCTTCGCTATGAGTCCTGGAAGATCTGCTCCCTGTCTTGTAGGCCTTTTCCCACCTGGCCTGGGCAGGTGGGGCTCTGACTGACTCCAGCTACAAAAGCGGAGTGCTGAACAGGCTCATGGATTTGGGTCTTGTTTAAGGGTTTTTGTTGAGGTGGGTTGTTGATGGTTTTAATTTTCTGTATCTTTATTTTGTATCTCATTATTTATGTGGGAAATGTTCAGTTTGGTTCTGTGTGTTTTTCACGTCTTGTTTATTGTTTATGGCTACTTTTGCTATGCTTGTAGTGATGCAATTTTTCGTATGGTGTGTAAGCTGCCTTGAGCATGGCTTTAATTTTGGAAAGGTGGCATGCAAATTGGATGATTGCTTGATTGATAGATAATCTCCATAGATATACAGTGAAGAGTGAAATGGTTCAGGGCTGGCATTTCCCAGATAAGTACTTCATTGCTGAAACTGGCTAACTTGAAATACTCTCAAGCTTACGTCATGACTAGCTTTGGGTGAGGTTATACAGCTGCCATGGGCTGACCACTCTAGATTAGGCCGCTGATACATGGTGAGCCATTTTCTGGTGAAGTGTTTTCCCCATGCAGATGATGATGTGAGCCTAACTTTATGACAGTTTGAGGTGACATGTGGAAAACTGCCTGATCGTTGTGGTGAGCCACTACAGGCGCGCAGCTCACTGCATAGCACTTCTTGCACATGGTGTAATTTTTAAATGAGGCCCTTTGCACTGGCTATAATGCTAAACAGACAGAAGAGAAAGGGAACTGTTTTTTTGTTTTTGTTTTTTAATACAGAGCAATGATCTGTACTGAGGTTGAAGTATCCCTGTGACTAGTAACAATTACTTCAGTCTCAGTCTCAGTCAGTTTTATTGCACATAGCCAAAGGCTGCCACAATGTAGTAACAATTACTTTAAACCCAGGTCAAACAACAGATTTTAGGTGGAAGAGTCACAAGGCCTGTTCTTGTACCATGAGAGCTGATGAGTTTGGGGCTTTTCAACTTCTTATTTAACCCATGGCTCTTTGCTGTGGGATCTTCAGATGGAGGACAGCATACAATTTAATAAATAATAATATAGGCAGCTTCCTGTTTGCACAGGGATTGCATTCTGGGTCATTTTGTCCCATTCTGCCCCCATTGGGGGCCAAAAGTGATGCATGTGTCAGCCATCGTCTGTCAGATGTGCGCAAAATGGTCATTGCCTGTAATAAACAATTGGTTTTCCAGTATCTGGTGAATACAATATTTTAGCGTGTCTATGACAAGTCAGAACACACAACTAGCTTAAGTCTGTTCTGTGTCAGTTTCACTGGCACTCACTTGTAGCTCCATTTTGTCCCTGTTCTTTGTGGACATAATGAAACAGCACATGAAAAATCTGTATGCAAAATGCACACAATTTAATGCATCCTTCCTGTGAAATACACATTTTTTAATGCATCCAATTGCATTCCAACCCTAAAAACACTTAACTATGCATGCCTTTTTAATGTGAAATAATATTTTTGTGCACACTTCCTTGGGCGGAAACGCCATCAGAAAAGAGCAGGATCCTGGCTCAAGCTGCCATTGCTAGTTTGCCATTGCTACACACTAGATTCACGGGATCTTGTTGCTAGGAGGGGTCCTCTGCCTTTCAACAAGAGTTCTGACATGCAGGACTCTTAGCAGGTGAACTTTCCTCTAGTAGAGATGGAGTTGAAGCAATGGAAGCAGATTTGTGTCACTAGGGCTTGTACAAGAGCAACTCTTCCATGGATTGTTTCCCTAGGATGATCAACGTACCTATGACCTCTTGACGTAGTTGGGGAAAGTTGTAGAAAAGAGTGGGCAGCTTAACTGCCAGCAGGGGAATGTTTTGAGTGTTGTGTAAGTGGCTGGGCCACGAATTTTCTCCATCTTGTCTTCTCTCATTGGCCTCATCAGAGTGAATTACGTCTGACTGCTTGGTAGTTAATTGGAGCATCCTTCCCATTTCCTAAGCTGATAAGTCCCTCTCTGTCTGCCTTCATCAAGCTTCTTTGTTTGAGAACTTACTAAAGCTGCTGCAGAACAGAATAACCACTTTCCTATTTGCTGGACTAAATGAGGGCACTGTGGTCTCTTTAATAGCTGCATCTTTGTGCGCACAACATCCTCCAACGTCTTAGCCTTTTCCAGAAGATCTTCCAAATCCTCCTCCACTGTCGTCGTCGTCTTCTGCAGATTCTCTTAAAGCAAAACGGCCAGTTTAACAAACAGATGAAGTAAAGGAGCAGTCTGGTGTAACAGATACACATGTAAACACATCCTTTCTTGCCTGCTTCTAAATGCTCATTTAATTATTAGGGCTTGAGCAGCAGTAGAAGAACAAGAATTTTTAGAGGCTCTCATTTGAATGGCATTGATTTTTTTGGGGGAAAGATAGTTTTACTCGATGCAAAGAGAGACACAATGTTGGGGAGGGAGGCTTGAGCTAGGTCTAGAGAGCTTCTGTGGACAAGTATCTAGTTCTCAGGACTTGGACCCTCCTTTGGGTGCAAAATGGCTCCATAGCAATGGCCCCAGCAGTTGGCAGTCTGTAGGAAACCTCTGGATTGGCCAGGACTTTTCTAAATACAGGGAGCCTTTTGCCTGATCAGCCAATTGGAATTTTTTTGGGGGGTGGGGGATTGATGGCATTCTAGGTTCAAGCATCTCTCAGTCAAGCCCTGACTCTCTGACCTCAAGGATTCTGTACTGGAAAGACCTCCAAGTCCTGATTTGGATATGGCTGCTACATACTCCTCAACTGTCCTGATTTGACTGGGACCTCCCAGAATTACAGATGCCATCCTGGCTTCTGATTGGATCCTGGAATGTCCCCTTATTGTTTTTTGGTCTTGCGCTCTCCTGCCAGACCAATAGATGCTCATTTCTTGGTCTTGCACAATTGAGTGAATCAGCTGGTTGCCATGAGAGTGTGGGACAAAAAACCCCTCGAGCATCCCAATTTTGATCAGTGGGATGTTGGTGGGTATGCTACTAATAGACTCAGCCAATGTTCGAAATTCACCAGATGCTAGGCACATTTTGTGCCCGGCTGTCGGCCACTTGTGACCAAGTGAAGATGCAGGGGCGGAGGAAGGGGGTGCGGTCCGCCCCGGGTGTCACCACTGAGGGGAGTGACACAATGCTGGGTGGCACTCACCGCGGGTCCTACAGCATGCCCAAGCCACGCATCTCTCCTGGGAGAGATGA